GAACCGTCCAAAGAGATTCTGCAAAGATTCAGCAGTGCTCTGATATTTGGAATTTTCTCCCAGGAACAAACAAACTTCACGAGCAGACCAAACCCGTCACGCAAACACTAATAGTCCTCATTCAGACACAGGAAACAGACAGCCAGTCACATGTGTGTCCAAGGCTACAGATGCAGTTATAGCATAACAAACCTTAAAATGCACTGAATGTTATGTGTTTATGAAATACAATGGGTGAATGTGCCTGCAAAGCCCTTTTAGTGGTCAGTAAGGCTGAATGTCACCATCACAGGCTGTAATAACAACTTTGTCTCTTTCGATCTTCTCAACATGAACTGGAGTGATGTCAGTATTTATGAAATCCCCCTGTAAGGTAACTTCTTAGTGCGTCTGACGGTGCAGGGGAACTTAGTCAGCAAGGTGAAGCTGAATTTGTGACTCCACCCACATGACTGGATGACATCTCCAAGATTTCTACCTGTCAGGATTGTTATTCATAATTCTGTCAAAGGGCTGTAACTCTGACCTTTCTGTAATATTATGCACATGATAACATCACAGTGTTCTCTCATTTGTCAGAGTGATGTTGGAGGTCAGCGGACCCTGCAGCGACGCTGGACCACGTTTGCAAAAGCTCAGCTGCTTTGCCAAGCTGACCATGAGCTGCCCTATAATGTGCTCCAGGACATAGACACCCTCCTGCCTGCAGAGGGCGCTCCTGTGGATGACATACTCTTTTATGGCATATTCACCTCTCAGTGGTGAGTGATGATGTCTCCTGAAAAAAATCACCATGTTTCCATTAATACAAACTTGCTGTTGAGATTGAGAAGCACAGTTTTCAGATCTTTGACCTACTGTGTAGGTGAAGCATGCGTAGATTTGATCTTTGGGGCATTTAGAAAACTGCAGTGATGTATCCATGCCATCTGACCGGGGAAGCATTCAAATCTGAGGGATGTGCTCTTCTGTACCAGTCAAGGAAGGCTCTCGTCATGCTCACGAGTCCTCCAGGCAGTCTTTCTGTGGCCTTCAGGGGCGAATTGAGGGTTGATATAACCAGGGCTGCACATAAGTGGTCCGCAGGTGTCAAAATAAAAGACGCGCACCAGATAAGAAGTTGCAACGCACGTAAGATTTTCTGGAGGAGGACAGACATTTGTTTGGAACTCTTAAAGATGTCGAAGAAGCTCCTTTAAGCAGTTACTTTGGTGTTCCTCCACCTCCAAAGAATAGCAGAAGGAGTCCGAACCACAAAAGAAGCACGTATCCTCGGAAAAGTGGTTGCAGGAGGTGAGCTGGCTTCAAACAAATGATGAACGCACAGAGATGTGGTGCAGAATGTGCCGTGAAAATCCCACTCTAGCGGACAAAAACAGCTTTTTATATGGACGCAAACGCGCGCTGCAACTTCTTATCTGGTGCTCGTCTTTTATTTTGACACTTATGTGCACCCGTGGACATAGAATACAACAGAGAAGAAATACAATTTAAAGGACGCACATTTAAGAATGAAACAAGTTGCTTGCCGTAGTTCCATGTTTCTGATTCTTCGTGACTGTATTCTTAATGTTTGTTTTTGATTAACCAGGTCTGTCAACTCTGGGCGATCAGCAGTGTGTTCCTTCCGCCTCACTGACATCAAATCGGTCTTTTCTGGTAACTACAAAGTCCTGAACCGGGACACATTACAGTGGAGTGCACGGGTTCAAGAGAAGGTCGCAAATCCAGGCGAGGTAAATGGTTACTTATGAAAACTTATTTAGAGTAAAGTCTCCATGAACCAGCGGGTGTACGTGCACACACGCTGCCTTCATGTGCAAAAACTAATTACATATTCACAGCTGTGAGAAACTTTAATTCTCAGATGTAAAAGTTTCACGATTATTTGTCGTCTTCTTCCACGTCATTACTGCCGTCTGGTCCTTCCTGCTTTCTCACTACTTCCTACTTCTGCTCTTGGTACCAAGTTCACACTTTCACAGTTAGCTTAGCATTCTTTATACAGATGTGGATAAAATTATTAGCATGAAATTTCAAGTTTTTGTCAAAATTTTGACAAAACAGAACAAAGGATTTCCAACATAGCATTTCTAAGCATGCTAGTTTTCTTTAGAAAGCATAAATTATATTTATTTACTCACAATAATAGAATGATCTGAGAAAGTGTTTTTTCCAGGGTCAGTATAAATTATCCCTGAATAACAAACCAGGTTGTGCAATGATGTGCTTTAACTCTTTAAAGCTGAAAGCTTATAAAATTAAGTTAAAACTGAGGTTCCAGTGTCTCGTGTGTCACAGCAGCAGCCGAAAACCAAATCAAATCTGTTTACATGAGAAAAATGATTTTTGATGCTCACAAAGCAGGAGATGGATACTCAAAGT